ATGATTATGGTTGGAGTGACTATATGTCGTTGCCATTTACTCAAAATGTAAGCTTCAAATGTGTAGGAGATCGATATGTGCTTGTGTGTGTGTGTGTGTGTGTGTGTGTGTCTGCACACACATGCAATCATACACACACAATTTATGTTTTGCTTAGTTACATGTTTTTGTTGATTTTGGGTATAGGTGATCAATGAAACGCTTAGAAGGGCAAATATCATCAATGGGGTTTGGAGAAAGGCTCTCAAAGATGTTGAGGTTAAAGGTGATCGGGAGTGATATAGTAATACTGCTGTTTAGATGATTTGTTCTGGTTGAAGAAAAAATAGTTTTTTAAAAAGCAATTGTTATAAAAAATTATGTTTTCTAATTAATTAATTTTTATATTTTTAGGGTACTTAATACCGCGAGGATGGTGTGTATTGGCTTCTTTTATTTCTATTCACATGGATATAGAGAACTACGAGAACCCATATAAGTTTGATCCGTGGAGATGGGAAGTAAGTTTTACTTTGCATCTTCTACTTACAAAAATTTTTCTTTTTCAGCTGTAAAAGACTAAATGATTGAAAGAAAAATATGTAAATTTGCTTGGAATTCATTATGATCAGAACTAATCTTATATGTTTTTATAAACTAAAAAGCAGTAGCTACCTCTGTACATGCTATAATCATATCTGTAAGTGTACATATATATACACAGATATATAAATATATATATATATATATATACTGATTGAGATAGCTGCTTAATTTCTTTTTGTGCAGAAGATTGAAGGTGCAGTTAACAACAGTAGGTTTACACCATTTGGCGGAGGACAGAGACTATGCCCTGGTTTAGAACTATCAAAGCTTGAAATCTCAATCTTCCTTCACCATTTTGTCACTACTTACAGGTGATTAATAATCTCTCTCTCTCTCTCTCTCTCTCTCTCTCTCTCTCTCTCACATACACACACATATATATATATATGGTCCTGTAATTCAATTATGAATATATAAGATAAATGTTTATTAAGAAATTATATTGGTTTTGGATATACATCAGCCAAAGGCTGCTATTAATATCGTCTAGGGAGGTAAATGATCGGAGTAGTTGTCATCGACATAAAGGTGGTGGCAGGCATGCATAGATAGATATATATATATACATGTATGTAGTGTATATATATATATATATATGTGTGTGTGTGGGTGCATATGTATCTTTTTTCTTGGCTGCACATGTATGCATAGGTAAGTAGGCATTGTCAAAAACCTAGCCCACCGAGCAGTGGCAATTGTGACATGTGCTTGTGCTCTTGTCTTGTCAAATGGGGTTCCACAATTTGTGTGGCATGTTTCATTTCCGTCAACGGTACGTAATCTCAAGTAAATTTTATCTTTTCAAATCATAGAATTCTAGGAATCCAAACCCTATTGTCGAATAGGGTTCAAACGTCGTCGTATTAAAATTCTTTGACTTTTTTAACTATGATCAGACCATATAGGCATGGTAAATGAAGCGCAGCTATATGTAATACATATGCGCATATATATGTTGTGTGTGTGTGTGTGTGTAGTGTGTATATGTATATGTCTACGTACATTTTTGTTCTGTATATACAGATGGGTTGCAGAGAAGGATGATATTATCCACTTTCCAACGGTGAAGATGAAGAGGAAGCTGCCAATCAGAGTGACTCCAGTAGCCACTTGATCATGGGGCTTATGCCTGGAATAATATCTGATGGGTCAAGACTCAAAAATCCACCATTTGATTTAAACCCACTAAGAAAATCAAACGATGTACAAAATATGATCCTATATGTGTATATATAAAGGATCATCATAAATATGGTTAGCTAGGCAGGTGGCTAATGAAACTGTAAGTGGGCTCTTTGCCTTGCGCAAGAGGGGAGCCATTGGAAGGCTATAACAATAGGGTGTACAGCTATATATACAAACTCCAGTTTTTATATATACTGAGATAAGGGTGATTTGTATATATATATATATACACACACACACACAAATATAATGATGTTAGTTCTAGGGTCACTATCCCTCTTGCTTATAAGGAGGTAATATATTTTTTTGTGGCAAACTTCTTATTTTTTTTCGAAAACCTCTAAAAATAAAAATTGAATGCATGTGGGGATGATTAAATCAAATTCCTACAATCTTAGCCTACGTGCATTTAATTTTTTTCTTTTTTGGGTAAATCATTAGAGGTTAATCTAATGGTAGCAGTTTAAATTATTTTTATTAATTATTAATTAACATTAAAACAAATTGAATAATTTCGGTACTAACATAAAATTTGAAGATTAATTGAAAAGGAACATCTTATTCTCTTTTCTACTGGCCTTTTAAAATATATAAATATAGATTATTTATAATTTTTTGTATAAAAAAAAAGCATATTTAATTATATAAATGTATTTAAATACAATATAATTATTCTTTTAACTTTTCTTAGTTAAAAAACCAACATTTAAATAAGTTCATATACCGAATTGTAAGGAAAAAAAAATATATTAGGAATTTAAGAATGGTCAAAAATTAGAAAATTAATTTGATAATTTGTACTTGTTTTTTCTATATACCTTCGTGATACATATATATATTATACGCACACATGATTTTGTTTAATTATAAAACTAAGAGATGAAAAATTGTACGTATATATATCGGGATAATTTGGTATCGGACATTAATGGCGATTACTCCCACCCACTTTTGAATAACATTATTGAATTGGTGGAGCCAAACAAGATTACTGGTTTCAAGTTCTTGCCCTACTTTTTTTTTCTTTTTTTCTTTAGAGGATAGATTGAAAGGTACCAGCAAATCAGCAATGATATATATATATATATATATATATATATATATGATAATTCTTTTTTGTATATAATAATCTAAAATGAGCATAGAATTTTGTTACCTTAGTAATTGTATTTTAAAAAGACCACCGAATTATTTAGTTTAATAAAAATAAAATTTTAATCTCTTTTAAAAACCCAATTTTAAATTAAAATTAAATCGAATTACAAAAAAAGTATACATAGTTTATTAGACAAAAAAAAAAAAAAAAAAAATTGGCCCACCTACTTTAGTAAGAATATATATATATAGAAGAAAATATCAACCATCCAACAAGAATGATAGTAAAAACCCCATAAATTTGTTAATGGTAATCAATTCATATATTATTTGACTTAATAGTTAGGAGGTCATAAGTCTAAATTGAACCGTAGTCTTGCGTACGTTCTTATTTTGATATTATTTATGTTATTTTATTATTGATGTATGTATATTATTTAATTGATAAATGCGCACATTCTCTCTTTTTAAAAAAAAAAAATCGGTTTTATGAAGGGTGTTGGTGTCGGAGAAAGAGATCGAGACTAGGGTTACCGAGAGAAGTAAAATGACTTTCTATTAGGGCATCAAAAGCACATTTCGAAAGCATTTAAGAGAAACTTCTCCCAGTTTGAAAGTGAGGGAATACCCGTAGGCACAGTTCAAATTCATTTTTTGGGTTAGTTAGAAATGAATTTGGTAGGTCCAATAGAGGCTCCAAATTGAACTCCATATTCTTTTGCAATTCTTTCTTCATAAATTTCCATCTTAATTTTCCTCTGCTTAAGCTCGTAGAGCTAAGTTTGCAATTGATTGAATCCTATCTACCAAGTTTAAATTTAATTTAAAAATTCCAAACCCCATTTGAGAGAATTGAATGAAGCCATTGTTTGGTCTCTAAAGGCCCAAATATAAGAAATGGGTCTTAGCCCATTTTGGAGAAGAGATCCAGTCCATGTTAGCATGGAACAACAAATGATAATCTAAACTTTTTTTTATGGTTTTGGGAATTTATCAAATTACTTAATATTTTGTGGGGTGTAGATCGTAATCATTTAAAAAAAAAAAAAATGTTAGCCTTAGGCACAACATAACTAAACTAAAATCATATATGTTACGGGCTTATTGTTTGTTGCTTGGGTTTTGGGTTTTGTATCAAATTATATATTTATTGTTTGTGGGAAGGTGTATCATTAATTCAACATTCACTATATTATAATACATATATATATATATATATATATATGTTTGTGTATGCATGTACATATTATTGATTGTTTGTCAGAGAATATTGGTTTGTCCAATTTAGTTTAATTAAAGTCGGACCAATTATTTATCTCAATTTATTGATCTCCAGTATATATTCTTAAGAGTTCCTCATTGGTACTTATATCTATCTACCTACCTATATACAATATACACACGCACACCCTAGTGCTCAAGTAAATTATCAGACGCATTAAGAATTATACATATAACTATATGTCAACTTTAGTTTTCACATATATATATATATATATTTATATGTGTATATGTATATATAAATACAGTACAACTTTAGTAATTTTGGTACAAAACATTAAAAACATAAAAACAAGTCATGCACACTTTGAAAAGTACGGTCAACGAAGGGGAGCATAAAAGATTAGGTATGGAGATGCGACACAATGCCAAAGGCAACCGTTGGATTAACAACATGTAGGCCCCACGATCTTACAGCTAAAATATTTTGATCAACTAATCACATGTAATTAATTAAGATTATTTATGTTAAAGACGCGATATGGCCTTAATTGGTTAAATGTGATTAAGAAAAGATTTGATTAATGTAAAAAAATTAACAGATCGATTAGAGGTAAGGACACGTGGACGGTCAGATTGTATGCAATGACCAAAAAGTAAAAGTGGAGAATAATAGGCCGGAAAGAGTCAAAGGCGCGAAATCAAATTACATGGCGCCAAACATAACCGACTAATACTACTTCTTTTCACCCTGTCACTTCCCTCTATTGGATATTACCGTTAGGTTAATGATTATTACTGTGTCCACAACGTGGCGCGTGTTAAAATAGTACACGTCGCGGAGGCACGCGCGTGAAGGGTAAAATAATTCCGATTTACTTCGAATAATATTTAATATTTACATCATTTAATTAAAAATTTATTATTTTAACTGATAAATACCTTTTAAAATTACTTGGAAATTAACTTAGTACTGAAATTTTTTTAATTAAATTTTAATGGGAGTGTATTTAGAATCGAAGCATGACGAGCGCGTGAGCTGAGATTTCTTGGTAGAATATTCTGCTCGAAGAATGAAAGGGGTATAGAATCGTACAACCCACAATCTTGTTTGACGGAATTGTCCCACCGACGTTAACGGAAGGAGTATCTTGTAGTTTCGAAAGTGTTCGGCTAATCAGGAAAGAAAGATCTTGACAGTGGGGTTAACGGTGGTTTACCGTTAATTGTCAGGTAGTATAAATGAGAAAGGTGTTGTTGGGGGACGGAACGGGCAAAAATGAAGACCACCGACGGCTGTGATAACGGGTACATCGGTGGAACCCACAGTAAGCACTTGTGGAAGGCGTCTTTCACGTGTACATCGCCCACCAACCAATCAATCACCCGCGTGACTCGCGTTGTTTTCCTCATCTTTACATCTTTACCGTTAATTATAATCTCATACATAAATCAAAATATTATATTCCATTTTGACCAACCAAATTTTTTTAAAAAAAACGGTGGAGAATTATCCCCTTTTTTTTTTTTTTTTTTTTTTTTTCTTATAACGATAATATAATTTATGTCAAATCGTTAAATTAATTTATAAATACCAGTATATCCTATAATTCAATTTTTAAATTATTATTATTTGATTTTTAATAATTTATATTTTTATAAAAATCAATTTATAATATATAAAGTAATTTCACCCTACCTCGAGTATGGAATCTTTACATTATTGATGGCGTAAAAGATATATATGGGGCCTATGGGCATGCCGCGATGCATAAACCCGACGACACCTCTTTTCGGTATGGTAGAGTGTACGGACAGATTCATCTATAAATATTAATATTTTTTATATTCTCATATAATTAATTATTAATTATTAATTATTAATCCAATCTAGATATGAAAGTTAGGTAATAGAGTCTAAACACTTCAACTAACTAAGGTGGTTAAGTGTCTTTAATAAAGGGGGTGCGACCATAACATAGGGATCCTTTTATTAATTTTTTCATAGTTGATTTGATGGCAATATATATATATATATATGCTTATAATAATAATAATAATAATAATAATGTTTGGTATTGGTAGGACCTTAACTAAAAATTAAATCCAACTTACACTTTATATTAATTATTATCTTTTAAAGATCAAAGCACGATTAAATTAAAAAATTGTATTGAGAATGTTTTTAAAAAATAACTAATTAAAGTAATTAATTAAATTAAAAAAGTTGAATTGAGAATTTCAAGAAAAATTCATTAATTAAAATTATTCCTTAAACCACGGTTTTTACGTTTATTTGGTGGAAAAAAAAAATTATATTTAATATTATATTTTACAAATATTTTTTAGTTTTTGAATTGTAAATTAGATAATAATTCAATTTGACTAAACCCATGATTTTTTGTTGTTGTCGCAATAAAATAAAGAATTATTAATAAAAATAAATATCTTTTCATTATAATTTAATTTTTTATATTTTATAAACATTTTAAATGACCAATTTTTTAAAAATTTTATAAATTAAAACAAATTAAACGTTTTTAAATAAATAGAAACTATCGAGCGATTAAATTCTAATAAAAAAATTATATTTTAACCACCAAACTTTGAGAATTAATTTAATAATTTATCATATTTTAATATATATGTTTTTCAGTCACATATATATTCTCTGCATTTATATTTACATGTTATATGAAGAATAGTAAATTAAACGTTATAACATGATGGTGTGTGGGCATGGTGTATATGTAGCGATGACAACGTGACATGGGGTTGTTGGGTGCATGTCTTATTGAAGCATGCGCTTTAATAACTCATGATAGTAGCATGAATATCAAAATATGAAGCGTGCGCATTTGATTTTACTAACGTACCCAATTTATCAACCCCTTTAATCATAATTACGTAATTTAATTTGGTATATTAAGTTTCTAATTACATATATAAATATAATTACAAGCTTATGTCTATTATGTTTAATAGAATAATCACATTTTAAGTGAATTGTTATACTATAAATTCAGATCTCATAAAATCTCAAATATTATTATATAATCAAATCGTACAATATTTCAATAAAGAGTATAGTGGCGAAAAAAATTACAATAAATTAAAATATATATATATATAAATATAAACAGTTTATACTGTGGGACCCATAAGAAAGATATTAATTGAAACAGAATATATAAAAAAAAAAAAAAGAAATGAGATGGAAAATTTAAATAAAACAAAATAAAATCAGTCAATTAATGTTGATAGTACAATTTTTGTGACATTAAACGGATCGGATTTGCTAAGCCCCAGACAGGTCCCAGCCTGGCTTGCCTTACAAAAACGACGTCACATCAACTATCTTGTCGAATTTAGCCATAGAATTCACTTTATAGGAGCAAACGCTTTGTTTAATTATAGTCACAATTAATTTCATTTAATATTCTATAATAAATATGTTTAATTAATTGGATTATTACCGGGAACTAAAACATCAAACATCGCACTTTGTTATTTACAAAAAAAAAAAAAAAAAATATAGAAAGTGGTGTTTTAAGGTTTGAACACGTGTCCGGGAGGGTGATGAGCGGTTGACAAAATCCGGAATCAGCGGATGGGAAGGTGAGGAGTTGGCGAACCAAACGGTCCAATTAAATCGTGGGGCCCACATTCCTCTATGGCTTCCATTCCGTCCTTCCCGCCGTTGAAAGATAATAATAAACACTACTCTTAAATCTCACGACCAATTAATTATTTAATTAAAATCAGGTAATAAAACATGCCATGTGGAACATAATAATTTTGAGCCTAATTAATCTGGCACATAATGACTTTTAACTTTAATTAGTTGGTTCTTTTTAGATTAATCAAAGACCATAAAGTGGTTAATTATCTTCAAGGAGCATCCTTGAATTTTAAAGTAATTGATTGATTTATAGTTGAATTTAAAAATAATTACTATAAGAGCATGTGAATTTAAATTAAATTATATATCGTGTGTGTTTTTTATTTATAAATTATTTATTGTATATGTATGTACAAATTTATACTAAAAAATGAGATAGGTTTTACTATAAATTGTTTTTTTTTTTTAAAAAAATCTTTCTAAATACAAAGCCTAGGAGTTTTATGTGGCAAATTGTGAGGAAAAAGTTCATAATTGAAATTAAATAGTAGGCGGATAAGATTTTGACTTTGATGAACTTTTCATTTTTTTTATTTATTACGTGAAAAATTAAATAACAACAATTAAATTCAACACTTGATATTTGTTTGTTTAAAATATAAAAATTTTGATTTAATTAAAATGAAAATGTATGTATACATATGTATCGTGATCAATTACAGCAATTCCGTTACCAATTTAGAGCAGTGTTTTAAGGTTGACCGGTATCGGCTCGGTGGATAGTGGGTGTTTGGTAATGGAATTGACTCTATAAAGAATTTAAAAAGTAAATAAAATAATTCGTGGCTAGAATGACAGCTAACAAACAGATTGAGCGTCACAGATATAGTAGATCTCGAGAAAGAATAAATAAATAAATAATTTAACTTCAATAGTAAATAAATAAATAAATAAATTCGTGGCAGAAATGAGAAATAGGGGGGGTGTCAATAGCAAGAAGAATCGAGACAAAAACGAGAAAAGGAAAAGGCGGGTGTCTGGTTTTAGACTTCGCGGGTTCACATGGAAGCGTCTTTGTGGGGCCCACCAAAAAGCAGGAAGCACAAGCACTTGTGTCTATATTGATCCATCCGTCTATTATATTTCCCAAAATACCCCCACTCAAACATAAATTGACAAGTAATTTAACAGCTTTGGCTGTGTCGGCGGCTTGTGTTAAAATTTCGAGGGTAAATATGTAAATTCAGGTAATCAAAACTCCGCCTCTAATTTTCCGTCTAATACGTTGCTCTCTTCTCATTTCCTTTTCGTCTTCAGTTCATCGGTGCTACGTCGTTTCATTCACTTCCATTTTTTTTTAAAAATATTTTCTTAATTTTATTATTATTTTTCTGTAATTAGCTCAGAGCCACCACGTAGCGACGACTGCGGACACTTGTGAGGTGGGACGGTAAACATCACTTATAAATGGTGCTCTTCGCAGCGTCAGTTTCGTTCTGACCTGGAAGGCAGCTGTGAGTGTGAACTCCGAAGAAACTCCATGGACTCTGCTCTTACTCTGTTTGATCAGTCTCTTTTCTAAGTTGTCTTATTCTGCTTCTTCTTCTTCTTTCATCTTCTCCTCCATAAAAGCAGAGTCAAGGGGTTCTCTGCTTGTGGTTTCGGTGAACTTTGAAATACTTGAAAGCGAGATTGGAATTAGAGGAAGATGGGAACTGTCTCTGCTTCGAGATTGCTAGCTGTTCTTTGCTTCTTCTTATTTCTGGGTTTGATCAAATGCAGCGTCACCTACGATAGGAAGGCGATAGTAATCAATGGCCAAAGGAGAATCCTCTTTTCCGGCTCCATACATTACCCGAGAAGCACTCCTGATGTATCAAATCTTTCCCCATTCTCCTGATTAATACAATTTCTTCACCATTTTATTTTATCTTGCACCCGGGTGGTTGATTTTGTTGACTAATGGTGTCTGTGCAGATGTGGGAAGATCTGATACAGAAGGCTAAAGATGGAGGCCTTGACGTGGTCGAGACCTACGTTTTCTGGAACCTTCACGAGCCATCTCCTGGCAATGTACTTCACTTCACTTTTCTTTGCAATTCGTACTGTGTTTTGCTCTCTTCTTTTCTTCCAAGTCTAATTTTTTTTGGTGGGTTTTAGTATAATTTCGAAGGGAGATATGATCTTGTGAGATTTATAAAGATTATCCAGAAAGCAGGGCTTTATACTCATCTTCGCATTGGACCTTATGTTTGTGCTGAGTGGAATTTCGGGTACTGATAACTTCTTCTTCTAGATCTACGTTTACTATGCTCAAGAAAATTTCTCTTTCTGGGCTTTGCTTCCCTTTTAACTTTGTGGGCTTTTAGGGTCTTATAATGTAGGCTAATTTATTTTTTACCTAATTGTATGTTGCTGTTTTGTACAGAGGTTTTCCGGTTTGGCTGAAGTATGTCCCTGGAATCAGCTTTAGAACAGACAATGAGCCTTTCAAGGTCTCATTTCTTCCATTTCCTTTTGTATTTTGTGATCAGACTATGAATTGATGCAAAGTTAAAGCGAATTGATGTTAATTATTTCCATTGGTACATATGTCTATGTTTATGTGTTTGTATGCATATATGCGTATGTGTGTGTGTGTGTGTATGTGTGTGTGCGCGTGCGTGTTAAAATCAAATTGTTGTTGCAGAGAGCTATGCAAGGGTTCACAGAGAAGATTGTGGGACTGATGAAGAGTGAAAACTTGTTTGAGTCCCAGGGTGGCCCCATTATCCTCTCTCAGGTATCAGCATTTTGGTCTTTGCCTTTTCATTTGTGTACCCTTCTTAGTATTTAAAATTTTTGCTATTTTATAAAATTTAAGACAATTGAATTTCCAATTTGAGATTTCTGATAGGGGTGAATTTGACAATGGTCTATGTTAGTGGCTCTTAAAAATCCAGCGTAGTTGCAATGATTTCATGTGTTTATTTTCTGGGCCTGTCTTTTGGGTTTAATGCAGATTGAGAATGAGTACGGGAAACAGAGCAAGTTATTAGGCGCCGATGGATATAATTATATGAGTTGGGCAGCAAAAATGGCTGTTGAAACAGGAACAGGTGTCCCCTGGGTCATGTGCAAAGAAGACGATGCACCAGATCCGGTGGTATGTACTTTTCATAGCCCAGTTTCATTGTTGCAAGTTGAGGAGTTAGATTTGAGTTTATTTCATTTTCAATTGTTTGCTTTTTTGTTTGGTGCTTCTATTTGTTGAATAAGCAAGTAAAGAAAAGGATAAATGATGGGAACAAACAAAATAGTTTTCAAGATAGCAACCAAGAAAACAATTTGTTTGTGTTTTGTTGTGTCTTTTAAGTGATTAAGTGTTGTATCCTGGCTGATGGAGACAGATAAACACGTGCAATGGTTTTTACTGTGAAGCATTCTCTCCTAACAAACCTTACAAGCCCAAGATCTGGACGGAGGCATGGAGTGGCTGGTAATTTCTTGTCTCACACGGAAAAGAAAATGAGATTAATTAGTTCTAAATAAAGGCTTAGGCAACTACTGTTAGCGAATTGAAGTTGAGTTTTTAATATATGGTGGTTCTGGCCGAAAAAGTTTCTGAGAGATTTTGTTTGGCTTAGGAATGGTATAAAAAGAGAGCCCAATGAATTACTTCAAAATGATAATTCTGGATTCAAAATGCTATTGCTTATCTGTTACATTAAATGTGAAGGTTCACAGACTTTGGTGGCCCCATCCACCAGCGGCCAGTTCAGGATCTTGCATTTGCAGTTGCTAAGTTCATACAAAAAGGAGGGTCCTTTGTCAACTATTACATGGTTGGTTGTTTTTCTAAAGTTCACTTTCATAGATTATCTTTCAATGCTAACACTTATTTTATTTTATTTTAATAAATGAATTTTTTTGTCTATTCTGTGAAACAGTATCATGGAGGGACTAACTTTGGACGAACAGCCGGAGGTCCTTTCATCACCACCAGCTATGACTATGACGCTCCAATAGATGAATATGGTAAGGAGCAAAATTCATTTCCTTATTTATCTGAGTTCTTATTGCTGATATTCATCTCGGAGGATTGTTCTCTATCATAAACACCAATAACAAAGTTAACGGACTGTTGTCGCCGATACTGATTGGCACCAAACAGATCCATATCTGGCTTTGTTGAACTCTGTACTTTAAGAAATTTATGCATGCTGATCTGTTTTCCTTGTTATTTTATTGCCCACATTATACTAATGCACCAGATGATTGGAAATGAAACTGACTGCTTCAGTGAAAAAATTCATAGGTTTGATCAGGCAACCAAAATATGGTCACCTCAAGGAGCTTCACAAGGCAATTAAAATGTGTGAGCGAGCCCTAGTTTCAGCTGATCCTATTATTACTTCATTAGGAAACTTTCAACAGGTTCACTTCTATTCTAGCACTGCGTTTCTGGTAGTTATATAAATTTTATTCCTTAATGATTCTGGCAAATCTTTGCCATTTTCCAGGCTCATGTTTACACTTCAGAATCAGGAGACTGTGCAGCTTTTCTCTCAAACTATGATACTAAATCTGCTGCAAGAGTGATGTTCAATAACATGCATTATAATTTGCCTCCCTGGTCCATCAGTATTCTTCCTGACTGCAGAAATGTAGTTTTTAATACTGCAAAGGTACACAGTCAAAAGAAGTAAATTTCCGTGTATCTTTTGCAGCAGCTAAACTAATTAAGCTTAGTTCTTCGAAATTTTGTTCTTATCATCTGTAGACATTGAATATCATCTTACGTGATAATTTATTTCTTCTTTCTTTTTTTCAGGTTGGTGTCCAGACATCAAACATGGAAATGTTACCTACCAGCTCTCAGATGTTCTCATGGGAGACCTATGATGAGGACGTTTCTTCTCTGGATGAGAGCTCAACATTTACTGCTTCTGGTCTCCTGGAGCAGGTAAATGTTACAAGGGATGCAAGTGACTATCTTTGGTACATTACCAGGTAAGAGTGACCTCCTGTTATTGATATACGCTGACGAGTATGTACTGATTGTCTATTATGAAGACTTACCTGCATATTATGTTCAGCTTGCAATGAATAATACCCCTACGGGTTCAATTATATTAGAGACTAAAATACTTCTATAGCAGCCATTTATATCTTGGTATCAATGCATATTTTCAAAATGGAAATGATATCTATTTAACTGTGTTAAATTTTAGCGAGAATCCTTTAGAATGAACTTTTTTGTTTTAATTTTTATTAACCTTCCTTCTAAATGTAATTGCAGTGTTGATATTAGTTCCTCTGAGTCATTCCTGCATGGAAAAGAACTACCAACTCTCCTTGTTCAATCAACAGGACATGCTTTGCATGTCTTTATTAACGGGCAGCTTTCAGGTGTATACTTTATCTAATTCCCGTGGTCTCCTGATTTATCCCGTTGGTTGTTTGCTAATCACAGTTTATATGTCTCAAATAGGTTCTGCTTTTGGGACGAGGGAGAGAAGGAGATTCACATATACTGGGAAGGTCAATTTGCATGCTGGAACAAACAGAATTGCTCTGCTGAGTGTTGCCGTTGGATTGCCGGTTAGTTCCTCTTATAAGTGACATGAAGCTGATTGAAACTAAACTCAAGTGGTCGATGAACTGCCATACTTAAAACTTGTCAGACCTTCAGCAACCATGAACTTGAGAGTAAACATCTGTTATTATATTGACCATGTTGCCACATGAAGACTTAAGGCATACTAGAAATGCACTTTAAGCCAGTGATTATTGGTGATGTTGGTAGATAGTTGTGTTGGGTGATTTTTTAATCCTTACAAAACCATAATAGATTTACCTGGTTATATCTATATATTGTGTAAGCTGTATATGACCTGATAATGTGCTTTTTAATTTTTGTTTTTCGGCCTAAAGAATGTTGGAGGACACTTTGAGTCATGGAACACAGGAATTCTTGGTCCAGTTGCATTGCATGGACTTAACCAGGGAAAATGGGATCTATCCTGGCAGAAGTGGACTTACCAGGTCAGTGGTCCTTGCCTCTGCATTTGTTGATTGTCTTATTGAATTAGATGGTCCATGAGTCATGGTTGACTTTTTTGAACAGGTTGGCCTCAAAGGAGAGGCTATGAACCTTGTCTCTCCAAATGGCATGTCCTCAGTAGAATGGATCGCGGGATCACTGGCAGTGCAGAAACAGCAACCATTGACCTGGCATAAGGTATAAAAGCAAAGAAAAATATAACTTTGAGATGTCAAACAAAAATAACTAACCCATTAATTTTAGAAGTTCGACTTAATGGCTTTGATTTTTGCAGGCTTATTTTGATGCACCAGAAGGAGATGAGCCATTGGCTTTGGACATGGATGGTATGGGAAAAGGTGAAATATGGATTAATGGACAGAGCATAGGAAGATATTGGACAGCATACGCTAGCGGTACCTGCAATGGCTGCAGTTATGCTGGGACATTTCGACCTACCAAGTGTCAAGCTGGTTGTGGCCAGCCTACTCAACAATGGTAACTGTTCACAAGATGGAGAATTCACAGAAGTTTTCTACCCTTAAAAAAAAAATAAGAAAGATTTTTCACTTTGTTCCTAATGAAATTTTATTTACAGGTACCATGTGCCCAGGTCTTGGCTGAAGCCAACTCAAAATCTGTTGGTCATCTTCGAGGAACTCGGAGGGGATCCCTCAAGAATTTCTCTGGTGAAGAGATCGGTTGCTAGTGTCTGTGCTGAAGTCTCTGAGTTCCACCCAACCATTAAAAACTGGCACATTGAGAGCTATGGAAGGGCAGAAGAATTGCACCGGCCAAAAGTTCACTTGCGGTGTAGTCCTGGACAGGCCATTTCTTCAATTAAATTTGCAAGCTTTGGCACCCCTCTAGGAACTTGTGGGAGTTACCAGCAAGGACCTTGCCATGCTTCTACCTCATATGCCATACTAGAGAAGGTACTGACCCTTCAAATTCTCAAATCTCACATCTGTAAGAAGAATCTTTCAGAAATACATTGATCACCACTTTATTTCCTCTTTTGCAGAAGTGTGTAGGTAAGCAAAGATGCGCCGTGACCATAGCCAACAGCAACTTTGGCCAAGACCCATGTCCCAACATCCTCAAGCGGTTATCAGTGGAAGCTGTCTGTGCTCCAGTGACTTACACAAATAATTGGAAGGGTTAAGGAGGCCAAAATACAGATAAAAACACTCTTTTCTTCATATATATTCACGTGAAGTAAGTTAACCGTACACAACCGGCATGTGAAGCGAAAAAAACAGAACCAAAACTAGAATAGAGGAAGTTGTTTTTTTACATTTGGAAAGTAAAGTAGATAGGAGGTTATTACCTTTGAATTGGGGGAGAAGGTAATGACCAAATTGTTTTAGACGAGAGCTGAGTAGAAATCTTGTAAAGTAGTGACTGTAGGGTGAAATGGTAAATTCATGGAGTCCTACAACTTGGGGCTCTGAGGTGAACTTGAAGCTCCTGGCCTCTGCCTTTTAACCGGAATCCGGGAAGTGTCTCAGATTTGGTATTGTGTTTTAATTTTGTTCTTTTCAAAATTTTAGAGATGTACAGGGGAAGAGTTAAAAAAGCTTCCTTTGTATATTTATGTCCATGTTAGGAGTGGATCCTACTCATCCTTATGTTTTTAATCTTGCAGTTTCTGATGATGAAAAGTTCAAATTTATTTTTCCACATTTTCCCTGTCTTTACCTATATTCTAGTTATGTTTTTTATCTGAAGGGAATTCTGAATATGTTACTTTGGATGCATCAATGTTTCAGTAATATTCTAATATTTTATTAATCAGTAATTCTACCTAATAATTACTAAAATATTTTTAAAACATAAAAGCTAAAATCAAAAGCTGATCGACGAATCTGGACGCCAACATTCATTTGCATACTCTGCTGCCCTGACTCTCGATCTAAATCCGTCTATCAGTTTGTGAATCGAAGACGAAAACGAACATGTTGATTCAGTCCGATTTTTTTTATCCAAACTGAAAAATGTGCACTCCTATATTATGCATTGTCGTAACTTATCACACACTTTCTTGAAGAAGTTAAATTTCAGAATTTAGTTTTGGACTCAAGTCTTCACTGTCATTGTATCACATATAACTTGTAAGTTGGCAACAGTTTAAAACCAAACAAATTTAGATAATGACAAAATTCAATAGTGTTTTGACTTAAATTCACTTTTACACATTTATTTTTAAAATATCAACAAATTTATACTCGTAATATACCTAGTTTGTGTTCATAATATTCTATCTCCACCCACCTCGTATTTCATTATATCTCATATTTTTTATCCATCTTATTTGAGGTAGGTTGAGTCACCTGCTAGAATACCCATCACTATACATAAGACTATGAACCCAGAGACGAAGGGCTTTAAAAATACACTATACACATGATGCTGGAGAAGACTATATTCAAGTTAATCATCAATCATTCCTTGCAAGCTTTGAAGGCAGCAGCATTTTGGAACTTCAAAATTCCCAGAGTACAGAAATTGTTCATTGACATTGGAAATCGAGTCATCGAGTTGTTAAAGGTGAAACTTATAGGATTCTTTATAATGCCAGTGCAGCCATCAAGAAATAAGAGACACAATTGATTAAGAAACAAAAAAAGTGAACTCTATCTCAAATATATAAGCAAATCAATTTTATCAAAGAATGTTCTGCACTATGAAGGAAAACTACATTGATCTCCAGGACTTGCAGGTAGACCCACATGATACCAAGATGGGCTACTGTTGGATCTCATCAGCCATTTAATCGAAGCTTGGAACTCTCTACTACTGTTTCATTTTCATGTCTGAGAAACAAAAGCCAAATGTTACTAGATCTAGAAATTGCAGGGCAAACAGTCAAGGAATACGACATCACATACATTAGAGATGCCCACTTGAACAAGCATGTATACATACACAAGAGGGTTGGAGGTCGAATGGAGGACGAAGAAATTATAGAGAATATATAAGCAGCAAGTTGCATATGGATACAAGTCCGAGTCGTTTCTGTATCACACCGTACTGCACACCGTGAGCGAAACATATATTATCTTCTTTCTAATATCTTTTTCTTATTGTTTGAATGGTATTCTAAATCATATCCTAAACAATATTGCACCCCATAAAAAAGGAGCTGGGAAAGATTCGGGTTGAAACAGAACAATAATCAGCCAAAGAATCAAAAGAGACAAAAGAGATTGTTGCTTTCTGATGGCAGAAAGAACATGACAAGAGACATTTTCAATTCAATGGGGTAGAGAATTATTCATCACGAACGTTGCAGATCCAGCTTCCATTCTTCTTTTTTTTTTTTTTTTTTTTCCGAAGAGAAGTCCTAATTCTTATTTCTTCTACTCTCAAAAATACAATATTTTTTTCCATCACCAGCCAGTATTTCCTTCTCACCACATTACAGAAATGATTTAATCTTATAACCGCGCTGCTCTGAGGCAGAAACGCAGATGGGTTCCCCTTCATTTGTAGTCTAATATAAAAGTTTTGCTTATATTTATATGAGCTGCAGATTTACACTCTTCTAAATGGGTATCTGATGATCAAAATTATGCTTAAAATAGACACCAAGAACTAACAAATGCGTATGTTGATCAAACTGGTGAACGATATGTTGGTCATCACTCACTTTCTGATCCTTTTCAAATGATTCAAAACCAGTTCTTGAAACAGGCTTAAGCGATAGTTTGGACAGCTATAAAGAAACACCAAGGCGGGGTGTATATGCAAATTAAAACTAACTGAGCCGAAATCCAACTACCTCAGACCATGGAGACCTTGGCGCCAACCTCCTTCATATTGGAGATAATCTTCTCTTCCTTGAGACAAAAAAGAGATGGCAAACATGTGACATTATGATCACTCAAATCAATATGAAGCTGTAAGTTCATGGATATGGAGTGAATGAAACATTAGCATCTGTCTTTCAGAAAATTATTAGAAAATATAGATACATTGCTGCGAATTGTTTAATAGAAAGAATAGAACATGAATCATATTTTCTGAAGAAGGTTTGCGACGTCGATCAAATGCTAGAAAAATTCTAAACTTAAGGATCTTAATACAAGTCGAGATTAAACTTACACGACGTGCCCTATCAGTCTCAACAACAATTTCAAGTTGTGTAAGTTCCTTAAGTTTGAGTTTTTCCAACTTTTGCTATTTTCTCCTACGTTGTTCTTCCTCTTCTTCTTGAGCCTAAGTCATCATTTTTATAGATAAGAATAGCCAATGGTATGCTAGCAAGTGTTCGAATCTTGACTGTTGATTTTTTCTTTTTCTTTTTCCTTTCCCTCTTTCTTTTGGCTTGTGTTTGTGTATATTTAGATGTGTGTATGTATATATATATATATCTATTTATTTAGTTGTTTTTGTTCTTTTTCTTTTTTTGTTTTATGTGCGTGTATATATATATACACAGGCGTGTATATATATATATGTGTGTGTGTGGTGTACTGGTTTCAACAAGCTCTGATTGATATAGTTTCGTAGGCACATGCAAGTTTGCTTGGGATAAAAGAGAAGCCATAATCTTTAGGTTACTTTGAAAAGTAATCGACACCATTTCCAATAAATATCTTATTATTTGTACACACTGTTTCTTTTCTTTTCTTTTTCTTTCCTCTCTCTCTCTCTCTCTCTCTCTCTTTCCTGTACATACACTGTATATATATTTTCTCTCCTTTGTTGGTTGCAGCAGGAGATTGGGTCTGCATTTCTTTCTTTTTCTTCTTTCTTTTTTCCACTTCTGGCCGAACAAACCTTTTTCTTTACCTCTTCTTCGTTCCCCTTTGTTTTCTCTTCTATTTCTCAGAAGGAGTATTACACCACACAGAAAAAATTCTGCTTGAATAGGCTTTATAATAGGATAATGAAAAAGATAATAAATTTTAAATAACTGAAGAAAGGGGTAAGATATAAATAAATAGGTAAGACTCAAACACTCTTTTTTGGAATAGGTGGTGAATTTTCAACCCTCATAATTTTTAAAATAAATGGATATTCATCTTACTACATACATTGTTGTTGGTATTGATTTGTGGAATGAAATTTTATCTTCATTCTCCTCCAATTAATCAGTTCTTCAAAAATTAACAGCACAAGCATAACGAAATATACTACACTATAATCCAAATTTGTAAATGCAAAGATCACTCATAATTAGCAGTAATGCCCTCCAAATTAAAGAGCTAATTTAATCCTGTGAAAAGGATATAATAGAAGTAACTCACAGATTCATCCAACACCGCTACAGTCCATATAGCACTAGATTTAAAAAAGCCACATATTTCAGGTCTCTCTCTCTCTCTATATATATATATATATATAAATAATATCATCATTATGCAGAAGCAGTTTCCATATGCTTTGCAATTGTCTGCTGGAGTCATCTTCTTTGCTCCCACAACCTTGTCCACAATCTTACCCTCTTTGAGGAACATGAAGGTTGGCATGGCCTCCACAGCCCAGTCAGTCGCAACCGACTACACGTCATAGAGTATCAATTAATTGATTTTTGCAAAAGCAAAAGCATAGTTTTTCACTTCAAACTCATAACGCCAGAGGGATCAGCACTACGTAGTTATTAAGGAGATTCATGTCATAGACATCATGCTTTTGAGAAAATTTTCCTATATTTTATTGTAATTTAGTAACTTCATGCATCAGATAATCATCGATATTTTACATTTTATTGTAAAAGTGCCCTTACGGATGTGAAGTTCAGGGTAATTTACCTTAAGTTCATCAACATCCACCTTGATAAAGGTAACATTGGGCAGTTTCTTGGCCAATTCTGCCAGGAAAGGTGAAATGAAGCGGCATGGTCCGCACCATGAAGCTGTGAAATCAACTACTACCTGAACAAACAAAGTGGATGACTAAGAGCTTAAAACCCACCAGCTAGCTATATAAATTGATCCGTTGAAAGGGTACTTTGAATTAAAAGTCATTCTCACACCAATTTTTCACAAGGTTAAGAATCTTACCAGTTCAGTTCTATTAATGGCATGTCATGCTTATCAGAATTACGAACTTAATTTAGAAAATATGTACATCTTCGTCTAAAAAGAACGTTTTGACATTTTATCTACAGATCGGCTAGTATCTTAGAATTATCTTGTGTATTTCAACTTATTCTATATTCCTAATCAATTAACATTTTTAATTTTCAGAACAATCATACACATGGTAACATAATTTCTTCTTTTTCTAAATCTATCTTCGTGCTTACGAGACATAATGACTCAAAAGGCATGATCTTCTCCTAAAACATGAGAAACAATTTTCATGCGCGCAATGGACCCAGGATTTCATAAACACAAGTGGGACAAAGTAATCTTTTTGACTTTTTTTTTTTTCTCTCTCAGGATTTCTTTATTGTTTTATATTTTCGTTTTTGATTTTAATGTAAATTATCCAACATAAAACTCAACATCAATCACACCTGTCAAGATGATCAACACTAATCGTCCAAATTAAAGTGAATAATGATTTATTGTCTTATATAAATGACAAAGATACTCTGTACTTTCAAAAAGTATATATAAATAAGTGTATAACAATTCATAATTTTAATTTCTATAATTAAATTAATTTCTCTCCTCAAAGTAAATTTAAATTTAAAAAAAAAAAAAAAAAACTAAAGCTTCTTTTGCAAGTTTTCATATCGTGTATTTTGTAAATAAATAAAATCTAAAAAAAGTTCATAGGATATTCACCCAACCTTCCTACATGTAACGTTTGTTTTAATATTAAATTTCCAATCAGTTAAATCCCCAAACATCTGCATAATTCAAACTCCTGCAAAATATAAAATCTCTAATGATAAACCCTAACAAATATTTTTAAAAAGAGAATAAATTATATTTCAATTAAAAATGAAAAGAACTTAACAAACATTGAATAGATTAAGCAAAATAATAGCGATTAAACAAAAAAAGAACAACTAAAAAAAAAAAAAAAAACCGGATCACGGAAAACAACCTAATATCAAATCAAATCAAATCTCAGAAAATTAAAAAAAAAATATATATATATATATATAGATATATATTAGAAAATAACGAAGAAGATTACCAGCTTCTTCGATTCATTTCCCTTTTGAAGTTGCTCGTTCCACGAATCGATAGTGTGGCAACTGATAACTTGTCCCTCTTCTGCTGCCATTTTCTTCTAAAGCCTCTCTAAGATTTTTCACCCTGCGGATTTACAGATGACAATGCCTTGTCTCTCCTTGGTAGTTTTCTTGAACGGCGCTCTTATCGGTGTTATAAATAGACCCTACTCATGTTTTATTTACGATTTTGCCATCCGAGATAATGACGACACGCATTATCCAACGTAGGCATATTTGACTTATTATGTATAAACCTAAGGGAAGTTTTTATATTATATTTAAAAAATTATTTTTTAAATACAACCTAATGTATATAAAAATGTTAAAACTTACATTTCAAAGGAGACTTGGAAATTTTAACAGCTAATTACAGAAGTAACAAATATAAAAATTATTATTTATTTTTTAAATAGAGTCATATATATTTTTAAGCATATTCTATTTATGGGGAAGGCATATTATTTGTCCTTCATGATTTTTCTTTTAATATTCCATGGTGATGATTTTTCTTACATAAGAATTTACTACATTAAAGAACTAAATTACTGTGAAGATTAAATTTTAATAAAAATATAAGTGGAAAAATATCAGATATAATAAATATAACTTATATAAAAATTTTGAAAAAAAGATTCAACAGATTCACCAGCATGAAGCTGTACAGGAAAGAGATTACTCCAATTTCATTTAAAGTCATGTTTTTATTAACTTAAATATAAACTAGAAAGATTTTTAAATTCATTCATACCAGCATAGCAGTTTTGTATGAAAACATCAAACTGACAGCAGAAACATACCCAATATGCTACAGACCATAATCCAATCTTTGTCAAGCAAAGATGACTTAATTATTAAATTAAACAGCTACACATATGGTGACAATGATACATGACAAGGGACTCACATATAAATCCAAACACAAAATACTGGATTACCGACAACAGTCATGCAATTCTGAAGTCTACATAGCTTCATGTAAAAGCCACAAGGTAGATTATCACTGTATGGCAGGGGCAGGAGCAGGAGCAGGTGCTGATGCTGAATGCTTTATGATTGTCTGGTGGAGATTTTCTTTATCTGCTCCCACAATTTTCTCCACAATCTTGCCCTCCTTCAAGAACAGGAAAGTCGGCATAGCCTCCACATCCCACTCAGCTGCAACCGCCTACACACCCCACAAATTAATTAACCAATGTTATCAAAATTTTCAAAACATTGGAATTTCAACCAGGAAAAGCTATTAGTAAGTTCAGGGTGACAATATTACATTTTAATTATTTGATATGTACAATTTAGTAATATTTTCCCCAGTGTTCTAGGGGTCACTTAGACAGTGTACAACTTTCCTTTCAGCAATCATAGGCAGATCCAAACTCTGTGTTTAAAGAATAATAGTTTTCTAGATTCACCTATCGTTCACAATTAAGCACAACAATTAGTGGTTTGAGTTGTCTTTATATTACCTGCAGCTCATCGACATCAACTTTGAGGAATATGATATCGGTGAATTTCTTGGCCAGCTCTGACAGGTAAGGTGCAATGAAGCGGCATGGCGGACACCATGATGCAGTGAAATCAACAACTACCTGCACCACCAACTTGGCTAGCTAAAACCCAGAAACTACATAAACTGATTCATCGAAAGGTAGAGAATCTATTGTTAATGACTTGGGATACTTCAACTAATTTATCAATAACTTGTACTGCCTTTTCTTAAGGGAGGAAAAAAAAACATCTGGAACAAAATTCTTTGTAAATACACAACTACTCTCTGATTAGGACAGGAATGTAAACTGTACTAGAAAGACAAAAAATTGAGCTCATATGAAATTTTATCTAGAATTATAACAATATATTTCAAATTCCATCCACTGGACTTTGTATAAAATCTTATCTCGAATTGAGATAATGCATTCAACAAAACTAATGAAATTTGATTTTACTATTACAATTTCACATTAAATTCGAAATGAGGCTTTTTTTAAAAATCATTTTAAAAAGTATACACAAATTCACAAATAAATCTATATGATTAGTACCTTCAATTTTTGTTTTAGAATGTTTTTTTTTTTTTTTTTTTTTAAAGATAGAGACTGAAATCAACCTATCAGAGTTATAATTTCTTTAACTCCCCTGTGCTACCTGAGTACCAAAAAACTACTCTCGTGATTAGGTCTCAGACGCTCAGTTTACATGTATGCAAGCCTAATATGATAAATGTTTCAGTCACCCAGCAGATTATAATTCCAATAACCATCTAAGTAAATTATCTCTCCCATAAAAGAGATTACTAAATGCTTTATCTATGTGGCTTTCGTTTTTCATCCAGATCCAGACGCTTAAATCCCAAACCTCCATATTATCAGACTTCTAAGAACAGCACGAAAACATCTGATTACAGAAAACTCGCGGTTTAGAGAAAGGACAACTAATTAAAATATACGGAAAGCAAAAAAAATGATTTCTCTTTTAATTAAACGGAAAAAGCTTGACGAAAATGCCATAGATTCGAACAAAATATAGGTTAAATCAAAACAGATATCCGATCAGTTAATCAATGCCAGAATACCAATAGACAGGATAACTCGAGAAGTAGAAAAGCAATAGAAAACGGAATAAAATGCCTAAATTAAAATAAATTAATAGATGAAATATCTATTATCGAGGAAAAAAAGAGAACTAGAAAATACCAGCTTCTTGGATTCATTTCCCTTATTGAGTTGCTCCTTCCACGAATCGATAGTGTGACAACTGATAACTTGACCCTCTTCTGCTGCCATTTTCGCAATTCTCTCGCACAGGAAGAAGAAAACGAGGTTACTTCTCTGTTAATCACAGACACATTTCTCACGCCTCTCGGTACCAATAAATAGGCTGGTCTTATGTAATAGACCTGAAGTTAGCTTATAATTACAGTTTAGCCATCCTCGCTAAAGGCGATGGGTATTTCCGTCATCACATGCGTAGTTGCGAGCAGCCTCAGAATCATAGGATATCTATATGTGGGTAGAATGGTAATTAGAACCCTAAGAAAAATTGGATAACAAAACATGTAAATTTTTTTAAAAAATAAACAACTAAATATAATATTTCAAAACCAATACGCAAAACTTAGTATACAAGAAATTTTATTTCTTTTTAGTTCAAAGTTAATGTTTGAGACACAAAAGTCTTGGATTCCAACCTCCAAAGTCTACATTAGAAAAAAAAAAATTAATTTATTAATCAATAATTAATAAAAATTGATTTGTTAATTAGGTTCGGATTGGATTAGGTAATTTATTCTGTCCGAAGCAGATTCGATAGGATTTTTTTATAATAAAATTAGGTTCGGATTAGATTAAATATAGGTCGGTGGGAAAAAATGTCTACAGTAGAGCGGGTTGGGATTAGGCTTCAAAAACTTATTTTAACCTCATTTACTATATATATATATATATATAATTTTTGTATTAATTAATATACAAAGTATATGTCAATGTAAGTTTATGTTGTTGTGTGTGTATATATAAGTTTGTGTATCTGTATGTATACGTATATACATTGTCTTTTATAACAAATATATATTTGTCTACTGGATTGTATATATACTAGTTTTCTTTTTGTACTAACAAAACCATTTTTGCATTGGGTACGCATATACATAAAAAAAAAAAATTATTTAAAAAGGAACAAAAAATATTATTGTTCTTCCAGAAAAATAATATAAAGTAAAAGTTTAAATTAATTCCGAATTCAAAACAAATTATGATTTATATAATATAAGTGAATAGAATAAAATCCAACCTCAACCCCAACTCATTACTCTCTCTAATCCATCCGCGAATAAAGAGAGAAAACTATCGTTTTATTAGGTAAAAAAAATTATTAAGTGAAATTAAAAACTTAAACTCACTATTTTATTAATAAAATTACGTTAATTAAATTAAAGTTTTCTTCAACTAAAGTAATCATAATAAATAAAAAACTTAGACATAACCTTTTCAATCTTCAAAAGAATGAAGATAAATGATATTTTAATTCATTAACCCCTATAAGAAATCATGATTACAAGACGTATTATACTCAGTGATTTCATTTTTAAATTGTAATTCAATAGACTAAACTCCAACTCCATAGCAGTAAATTCCATTACATCATACAATGCACGTATTTGACAAACCCTGGCACGGCTGAAAAGAAAAAAAGTAACCAAATAACCAGTCAGTGTTTAAAAACATAAAGGAAACGTACAATTACAGTGGTGATCTTTGAATCAACTGCCTCTTTGTCCATTATTGCAATTACGATTTCTCAGCTGCCGAACGGATTCTCTTGTGATCTTTTTGGCGTATAACCAAAGCATCCATGGTTTTATGGGCATTGTTTTAGGGAAACCAAATACATCAATAAAAAAGTTATAAGTGAATCAAATTCTTAAAACAGTATGTACCCAAAAGAAACCAACCAACAAGAAATGAGATGAAAAAGGCCCAGAAAGTTAGGAAAGTCGTGCCCCCAAATGCAAATCCAAGCCCCGAGACTAGAACGAAGGGTAAAAAGGATTTGATCATGGCTGCTCTGTTTACCCAGCAACCCTTGAAGAAAATGAAAGCTGCAAGGTTCACCACATTCCACCCACCGGATCTGAAACTTAATCTGTTTAGATTGTTTGCTACAAAAGAGTGGCAATTGCAAGTAAGTAGATTATAGGACAGGTGTTGGAACTCCTGTGTACTATTTCTCAGTGCATCATCCCATGTCAATGTGCCCCTTCCATGATCCATTTGGCTCATCCATTGGTGTCCATCCTCACCTCTGAATGAAGCTGGAAGCGAAGAAATGCAACATTCCTGGCAAAAGTTTTTGTAGGATGCAGATGAAAATTAGGAGGAAACAGAAACTGATAAGCATTTACTCCTTGGAATGCAACCCCCTTTGTTAAATCTTTTACATCAATCTCAACCCAGTAATGTTAATACGCTTGTGACTAATAGGCCTAAAAAAGCCATTGTAATGCATAAATTTACTATAAGAGGAATTCATAAGAATGGCCCAGCTACTCTAATTCCAGTAAGCCACTAGCAGGCTAATAAATGCATCACTAGCTGAAAAACACCTCCATATTTTCAGGGATAATAATGCAAAAATACCTTTTCCTTGCTTATTTGAAAATAGCGAGCCACAGCTCCAAACGCAAAATTATCAACACAGACAAAATTTGGCCCTGCAAAATCCAAAACCACTCCATCTTCTCTGCAGATGCCAATATGACCGATGAAAGGTATAAGCCATGAAATAACAGGAAGGGGTGTCCAGACAATACAGCACGGAAACCGTGCTCTCTTTGGATCAATTTCCATATTAACTGCAAAACTTTCATTGATCATCAACTGATGCTCAGGGTCCCCTCTTTCTTCCATAATCGAAATCCCAAAACACTGGAGTCTTGATTGCTTTAATGAACTGATTAGTTGTTGATGAATCACAAACGTAGTTTAAAAACTCAATCTAGTAAGTAAGACAATCATGCCAAAACAAAAGGATATAACTTTCTATTATGCAAGTTTAAGTGCTTTCTAAATCTTTAGCCTAAATGCTTGATGATCCTCCTATATCTGATTTTCTCTAAAGCACATCAAACTGAGAACTCTATTGAAACTTCAGAACAGTTTAAAAACTCAATCTAGTAAGTAAGACAATCATGCCAAAACAAAAGGATATAACTTTCTATTATGCAAGTTTAAGTGCTTTCTAAATCTTTAGCCTAAATGCTTGATGATCCTCCTATATCTGATTTTCTCTAAAGCACATCAAACTGAGAACTCTATTGAAACTTCAGAACAGTTTAAAATCCAACTGAAGAATATTCGAATTGTGACCAAACCCAAACATTTTCCAAAGCAATTCAAGAATTTTGAATGCGTCTAGGACCATACACGAAACAGCTAGAACAAATTAATTGATCTGCACTTAAAGATTACAGAGAAACCGGAAAGGACCAAGTGATTGACCATTATGTGGTTCAGAACTCTTAGTTAACAGAGCTAGTCATATCAGAGAAAACAACTCTTCCTTTTCTAACAAAAGTCCCCTTTTTATATCCACATCGCATAATCTTGTCCAAACCAAGTTTCTAATAAAGGATTAGGGTTTCCACAGACGATTACCAAAGAATACATAAACAGCCGCCATTAAGCCTAAGCTCAAGCATAACATTTCTTGAGCACATTCAAAAAACTTGCTTCGTTTGTTAAACTACCAATTAACTCTCCATTGATGCAAAGAAAACTGAAAATGTTGAAATAAATAATTAAATTACTTCTTAAGGTAAATCAAAACCTAAGAATTTGGGGACGCAGAAAACTAAAATAAATATTGCAACGGTTAGAATTAGGTCTAAAACTGGGTTAATCCAAAGAACGCAGTGCTAAGAATCAGGGAAATTGGAAAATCGAGGGCAATAGAAGCAATTGTTTCAACAAAAACCACAAATAATTGAAGAAGCCGAGAGAGGAATTGTTAAGGAAACATAGAAGAAGAAGAAGAAGAAGAAGAAGAAGAAGAAGAAGCGAAGTACCTTGGATTGGGGGCTAGAGGAGAAGAGTAACAGATTACGGGCGCGATTCGTGAGTCGCCGAATCGAATACGTTTCTTGGGCTTCGGCTTCTTCCTCTGCTATGTAGGCCTATTTTGTTTGGTTAGCAGGTTACGATTAACCCAAATCTAGCTTGTTTACTGCCCCGTTTTCAGGAATAAACAAAAACTTCTTGGTCATTTAGACTGGATGTTTATTTTTTCTTAAACTCAATGAACAACTTATTTTCTCAGGGGAGAACAAAAAAAAATCATCAATACATAAATCAAAATTAGAGTTCGTTTGGTGCAGTTTTTACTTGCAATTTCTATATTTTAAACATATTTTTATAATTAAACAAATAAAAAATATTTAAAAGTTAATTTTATTGAATATAAAACTTCACTTTTTTTAAAAAAAAAATTAATAATATTTTCTATTATTATTTTACCTAAATACCAAATAAATTTTAATTAAAAGTACTTCCAATCGATATTCATATTAACAACATTTCAAAACTCACAGCACAACTTACAATCCATCCAAAACGGATCACTTAAACTTGTTTACTTCTTGGTCTTGGCTTTTAGTAAAATATATTAAAAGAAGATGCTTTTATTGACTAATGAAATCAAACACCATGATGAAGTTCAGTCAGAAATTTTTTAATAGGAAACGTTAAAGCAATGTGATAACAAATGGGAATAAATTAGGGTTATCAAGAACTGTCACTTTGAACAAATTTCCAAATCAATGCATGAATTAAAAATTCTGCACCATTTTTAATTAAAACAAAGAGGATGGCTGCTAGAATCCACAAAAAGCACCCTTTGATTTTTCTTTTAATATGATCAAATCATGAGACAACTTCAATGTAAACTTATAGATCAGAAAGTTAATGGAACAAAATTTTGAATGCACTAAATTCATTTCAAGTAACTGCATCATTTAAATCGCTTGGTAAAATATTTAATATGGGTAGACAAAACTTAAAAGAACAAAATCTTATTGTTACATTTATAAGAGATTTTATGCTGACAATGATCCTTGCATTTCAATTTCCAATCTCCTACATCTGTAGATACATTATCATGATCCGGCCTTCTGTCACCTTCAGATTCTTCTTATACAGACCTCAAAGGCTGTTATTTAGAATTTAACAGTTAGTGAAGACCAAATCACGGTACTTACCCATAAACCGAGTAAGTACAGAGTTTATCGATCTCTATAATGTAGTGGTAAGTAGCAATTAGCCACTACTAATCTGGTAATGTCAATCAGTAGATGCAAAAAAGTCGAAGAGCATCAACTTGGAGCTTCTTAACATTTTGGTCATCAGCTGGAGGTGGGAAGCAGTGGTTCTGCAATGGAGGATGATTTAAGGCCAGAACCATTTGCTTCACAGTCTTCCAAAACTGAGTTAATCATGGTGTTCCCTGAAGCATAATTGATTTCTGCATTTTTTCCCAGAACAACCAGATACAATCCTGCTATTATTAATACTGCTCCAATAATCCTGCACATCACATTCCAAGAAGCAAAAGAAATATACAATAAGCTGCACTTATAAGCTAGTTTTATTTGAAAAGGAAGTCACAGGAGTATTTGTTTTGTGTCTTGACTTATAAGCCAATGAATTGTAAGCCAAAAATTATACATATATATATATATAGCTTTCATTCTCCGGCTTATAAGCCATACATGAGTTTAAAGAAGATTTTTAACACCTGTAATCTAATGAAAATTTGGAAAGAGGAAACTTACCCTCCCAAGTAGAACTCTTCACCTAAAGTAATGGTAGCCATTATAGCAGCAACTAAGGTTTGTAGAGGTAAGTATGCTAAAACAAACAATGGCCCTGCCCTGTCCACAACCCATATCTGTATTGCAAACACCATTGCTGATGCCACTAAACCCTGCAGCCACCAGTACATGGATGCCATAGGAATATGAATATCGAATCAGAACAAGCATATATTTGGCCTTATAGAATATTAACACTATATGGATGATTAAAGAATACAAAATGTTTGCTGTTCAATCCATATAACCTACTTTTACGAAGGAAATAGAATCCAAATTCACTGTAAAGAAACTCCATATTGCCAAAATTTTGCTAATATAACATTTTGCCACAAACTAATCTTCAAAATGGCGTTGACAATTGATAAACAATCTAGTTTAATCAAGTTTTCCAAAAAGTTAAAGTTGATACTGAAGGTTCGATCTATTATCAAGCGCACTAGATTTTTAAACATTAAAATTGTGTGAAACAACAAAGTTAGATCCCATTTTCTAAAAAATCTAAGTTAACAGTAATGGAATGAAAGCATTAGTATGAGTGGAAACCTTCACTATACTAACCGCGTAGAGAAGAGTGAACAGTTCGGTTGCAGATTGGATCTGCCATGCCTGAAAATCTCTCTCAAAGTAAGCTGCAATTCCCAGAAACTGAAAAACAGCAAAGAAGCAGGAATAGGATATGAAGGAGAATCGAGCTGGGTATTTCTTCAAGAGAGGTGCCTGCAACACAATCCAGCAAGACCAACACAAGCAATGACCCATAAGACATAGGCAGCCCAAGGTCCAATTCTTCCCCTCAGCATTTCCTAATGGAAACACTAACAGTGATAGTTTTGATCCTGAACTTGGACCATAAATAACTGGACCTTTGTAAAGAGTTATAAGCAAAGCTCCATTGACAGATACAATGGTCCCCAAGACCTTAGCTACACCATCTTTTCTTCTTAAGTTCAGCTCTTCTATTCTGCAACACAAAAGGGCACAAAAACCAGTAATCTCAGTGGGTCAATGATGAAAACACTGTATACGAATGGAGAAGATGAGTCGCTGACCCTAGCAACACAGCCATGATGAAAGACACGGCTGGGACAGCATTCTCTGTGGCTGAAGCAAATGTGGGCGTGGAATTATCTAATCCAAATATGTAAAAACCTTGATTCAATGTTATTCTGCAGAAGAGAAAGATCAATAATGAGGGAATTCAAGCAGAAATTCAGTGATATTCACATGGATAAATTAGATTAGATCATACCCGACTAATCCCAGAAGGAAGAACTGTATCAGAAACGAGATGGTTAATGGCGGTCTGTCTTTCCTGCAAATAGAACAACGGAGTGGGATGTGTTAAAAACTTTGAAGGCATCAGTAATGGTGATAAAAGGGGGTTTAACTGCGTATACTTCTCTAGGAAATAAGCAGAGGGAGCTAGGACAGCGAAAGCTATGGTGTTCCTGTAAAGCGGGAAAACCAGTTTGCTTACACGCATGTTGAGGGCGAGTCGCATGATGACATGGTTTCCGCCATAGCCGAGCAGGAAGACTAGCATGGCTATGTGCAGCCTCGCTCGCTCAGGCGGCAACCAAGACATGATGCGTTAGAATTTGCAGACCCCAGAACCAGCTAGCTTCGGCGAGTGGAGACGAGATTTGGATGGAGTGAGGCGAGGCTCTTTGGACCAAACCGGTTGAGACACAGAAGACGTATTTTTTACCAAAAAGAAAACGAAAAAGACAAAGTGATGTATATTTTTTAAAAAATAATATTATTAAAATAATTATTTATTTATATTTTAAAATGTTTTATATTTTAGATGTTAATGATTAGAATATTATTATCATCCTAACTATAAAAAATAATTTAAAAATTAGTGAGTAAATTTAAAATAAATGTAGAATATGATATAATAAAATTTGTTATGAAAATTATATGGTGCAAATGCAATAATAATATTAAAATATTTAAATAAACAATAGTTATCATCATATTATGTCAGATATTAAATAAATTTTTTTGATTAAATTTGTTTTTTGTTATATTAAAATTCATTACTGATAATTATTATTATATTTAATTTTAAAAATATTTTTAAAAGTATATGACATTTTTTTTTATATTATTTAAAAATTATTTCGAAGTGAAACACAAATCCAAATTCGCATTTACTCTTTTAACTTTTATGTAGGCATTTTTTCAATAATTTATAAGCTTAAGCTTATATTTTGAGAGGAGATGACCAATTTTATACATTCTAATATGTTTTATACTTAATTATTTTATAATTTTATGACTCAAGATGTTGTGAGAGTCACCATATAAGGTATATTCCTTAATAAGTTAAGATTATAATATGTAATAAATCATTGTTATTAATTTTACCCAAAAAAAAGGGTAAATTCTCTCTACATTATAATTTTTATTTAATACTAAAATAAAAGTATTTAAAGTATTACCTTTAAAATAAAATATAAATATAAAATAACAAAAACTTATTTACGCTAAAATTTTATTTTGATTAATATAAAAAGTACAAACAAATGATTTTTTAAAGTTGTTATATTTTTATGAATTCGATAAAATTAATAATTTAGTAATTTATAAATTATATTTTTGTTAAATACATAAATAAAATAATACAGTAAATATATATATATATATATATATATATATACTTGATACCGTAGTCACATGAGAGATTATCTGCAAATTTACAGTTGGCGTGAATCCGAATCATTTGTCTAAACCAAAGACTGTTGATCCGTGACTGCGGACAACGAGCTACACTAAACGCACAGTTTAGAACTTCAAACGAGCTTATCAAAAATTGAATTTGTAAAAATGCCGCTCGGAAGAGGGAAACCCGCCATTACCGTGCTGCATATTGATCTCAGCGATGATGAAGATGGACTAGAAATGGCCGCAACGCCGACGAATGCTTCAACGGCCAAAACAGCGACGCAAACTAGACCGCAATTGCAGGAGGATTCGCGAGCAATCACGCCGTTGGTTCCTTCCGGTGAAACCCTAGAGTCTCGAAGTTTCTGGAAAGCCGGGGCTTACTCCGTCGGTTCGACCTCGAACAACGATCCTGCCCAAGGTCTTATCTCTGCTTTCATTTATCCTCGTATCTTTCCGTGGTTAACGATTACCCTTATCCGTATACGTATCCGTACCATATTCGTACATGTATATGTGTGATCGTGATTGTATTATGTTTCGTTGGTCACAGGTTTACTGGAGCATGCTCGTGTTCACCCGAAGTTTCTGCATTCTAATGCTACCTCCCATAAATGGGCTTTTGGAGGTACGCTGTTTTGAGTCGAGGTCAAAGGAACTTTCTCAATATATGAATTGATCATTTATTTGTTTATCTTTTTTTTTTTTGGGAAATTATAGTACTTGAAAACTTGAAATCATGATCTCCCTTGAGCAGAAAAAAAATGGAGAATACCATTATCTGTATGGACATATATTGATTAAAATGTTGCATTCACCATTTTGAAATGATTGTTCCTTTGTTTGCCCTTTGCAGCAATTGCCGAGCTTTTGGATAATGCTGTCGATGAGGTATCGTGTGCCTTCATGTCATAAGTTTTTCAGCTATTATCAATTCCAGAGTGGAAGTGAGAATATATCACAATAGATTCGTGACAGGATTACCTAGGGCACACTCAAAACATGATGCCATTTGGATAATTGTTGACCAGCTCGCTAAGTCTTCCCACTCTTTGGCCATTAGGATTGAAAATTAGTTGTTAATTGTTATCCTCAAGTGACATAGTTGTGTTTGGGTTGATTCAATGTGTCTGTGCTCTGTCCACAAAATCATTTGATGAGATAGATTGATCCCTGGAGGATGTCATTCTCTTTATTTCCAGTAACAACTGTCTTGATGCTACCCTCTTTCTTACTCCAGGGCAGCAGGATGTACACATGAATTGATTTCTTTAATTTGCCTTTGAATTTTCTGGTGAAGGTGTGAGACGCTGATTTTGTTGTATGTCTGTTCATCATTCAGATAAACAATGGTGCAACTTATGTGAAGGTGGATAAGATTGATATTGTGAAAGATAACTCACCAGGTTTACTATTCCAAGGTCTGGTATTTCTATGCCTAAATTCTCACATCTGAATTATGGTTAGTAGTTTTCTTAGTTTTTCATAATAAATGAATGATAGGCATTTTTGATATCTATTGTAGACGATGGTGGGGGAATGGATCCCGAAGGTATCAGGAAATGCATGAGCTTGGGTTATTCATCAAAGAAGTCAAAAACAACAATTGGACAGTGTTAGTGCTTTGTCTTGTTTCAAATGCCATTTGCTTGTTCAAACGCATCATGGTTTCAAAATTGTGTTATTGTCTCTGTCATGGTTGAGAGACTACTTGAATGACTATCATTTTTGCACTGACATTTTTATTTTGACAAATAGAACTTATATTTTGACTAAGAACTGAGAATTACTAATTACCAATGTGAATGAGTGTCTAATAAAGAGGAAGAGAGATCTTAGTCACCAGTGTGATCATCTGTCATAAGGCATATTCAGTCATCTCTCTGACTTTTGTTTCTCTCGTCCACTTTTCTAGTGTTCCAAAATTATGGCCAACTTGGTTTGTTTACATCCTCTCTGAGAATATTTCTTGTTTTTCTTCTGCTCTTGATTCTCAAAGGGTTCTTATTTTTCCAGATGGTAATGGATTTAAGACAAGTACCATGCGATTGGGTGCTGATGTAGTTGTTTTCAGTCGAGCAACACATGGAAGGTATTATTTCGCTCTACCTGAATCTGCTACCTATGATGTTGGTCATAAGTTGCATGCATAATTAAGGTTGCACGAGTTACGGATTATATAGAAATAATAATTTCACTTCAGTTTTTTGAGATAACTTTATGTATTTTATCCAGATTTCTTTCATCATTCCTTGACCATATGCATTTTGGAGGGTGTTTGACATTACATAGTTGTTACTTAGTTTTCAGCATTCTGTTCCAATTTTTATTTACTTGATAACAACATAAACGACGTGCTTCTTAGGTGTTCAAATGTAAATTTAAGTAGGAAAAACTAAGTCCTACATTCCTGACTTTCTGTTAGAACATATAACTAGTTTAACATTTACCTTCTTACTAATAATTCTTATTTGTAATCCCAAAAATCCTCTCAGTATTTTGATGAACTTAAACTGAATCATGGTGACATAATTTTTGCATGCTTTTGGCCCTGTATCAAGCGGGAGGTTGTCAAGCAGGGCTATGTTTGGAGGAATTTAGTGATATGCAGACAGTTTCAACCATGGCTATGTAGGAGAACAGAAACTTGTTGTAGATTATGTTAAACCTTATCTGAATTGGTATGCACAGATTATTAAAATAATACTTGAGCCTATCCATCCGCATCTTTAGGTGTGTCTTGTCTAGTGAGTCACAAACCCTTAGTCACACATCTTTTGGTGGCACAGTTGCTTGAATGATCCGCTTTCTTTTCTAGGATGCAATCAATAATCTGGTTCCATGGTCCAATTCCTCCTATTCCCTATTTTGTGGTCACATATCTTTCCGTATAATATCTAAACACGGGAAGCCCTTCATGTCCAATCTTCACATCATTTAGGAAAGATTCACTCATTTCATGTTTATCTTCTTTAGAACTTCAGATGTGCATTGTTTTATTGTCTACAGGCTTTGTCTGAGACATTGTTGTTTTTTCACCTTTGTGCTAAATCCATCCATATGCTGCTTGTCAGAGTTCAAATCTTTGCTTTTAGTAACTTCTGTTTCTTTCTTGTTTTTGTGGAAATCTTTTATTAGCAAAGCAACTCAAAGTGTTGGACTTCTATCTTATACCTTTTTACGAAAAACAGGGCAGGATGATGTTATTGTTCCGATGGTAATTTATATGCTCTTATGTGATGCATCTTCTTTTACTTTTAACTTTTCATTTTCTGATCTCCTGCTCTTCCCTTCTTCTCATTGAAGAGGAGAAGGGTGATGAGGGGCTGAGTAGGTGAACTTGATGTGATATTTTTGCTTCCTCTGCAGATTGATTTTGATATTTCTGGCCATTGGGCAGAACCAATAGTTTATGGCTCTCACGATGATTGGTCTTCTAACCTGAAGACCATCCTTGAGTGGTCTCCCTTTGCATCAAAGGAGGAACTCATGCAACAGGTTTGTAGACTTTGTTTGGTTTTGTGAAGTGTAGAGTATATTGTTTCTGGAACTTCAGAAATAAATTGTTCTTGAAACTATCTTTTCTGTTTGAATAGGACTCCCCTAGTTAGTAGAGATATGAAAGAACAAATTATCCCAATGTGAACTTGAGCACTGCCCCATTACATTACTTCAAAATGGTTGGAACAAGTGATATTCTTAAAAAAAAAATGTGATTAACTCTGAACAATTATGGTTACATGAATTTTTCCATTATTTTCACCACGACCTCATCCATAAGACTGCAGGTGGAAATGTCGCATGACTAAGATATGAGACAATGTAGTAGCATTTTGTTCTCTGCTGTCTGTTCCCTGAT